AAATTCTAATGGATCGCACTTACCAACAAGGCAGTAATTGCAAGGTCCTGCAGACAAGTCAGGGCATGTGAGAGTGATGATAAAAAGTTATAATAACTAAGTGTCTATAACGTACAAGGGGAAACTGTGCTACCACACTCACTATCTCTAGCACAAAACAAATTATGAAAAAGTAATGAAAAACGTATTTCAAAAATTTCTAAAAGTTATCTAGTTAACCGTGATTCGAGGCGTGAGTCGTGAAATCGCCAATTTTTTAGTAGTGATGCGTAGCACCCCGTTGAGACCCTCCTAAATGAGCGGTACAAATGTACCGACAAAATCTCCAAAACAAAACTAGCACTCATTTTAGTATCTTAGTACATCGAAGACTTTGAGTGGGAGCCGATCATACAGCCACTTCGTAAAAAAAAGTCGGTTCTCAGGAAAGTGCCAATCACAAGAGATGACAATAATTCTGCAAAAAAAAAATAATAATAATAAAAAAAGAAGATAAACAATAAATAAAATAGAAATGAAAATACACAATCAKTAAACGTCTCGYCCMGGGAATCGATCCCSSTACCGTCAAACCTACATTGGATTTGCAAGCAGCGCCTTAACGCGGTGCGCCACTGGACCACGCTCATTTACATAATAATAGACCACTTGGCACTTTCACCGAATAGACTACCCCAATTTGACATTATACTTTCGATAGTTGCCTAGTTAGTGCAAGGGGTTATCCATCAGTGTCTAGGGGCCGGATAGCTTCTCCCTCACTGGCTTTTTAGTTAGCGCGAAGTTAGGACCAATTATCGGGATAGCATGGAAGAGMCGAAATCTCTAACCGGAATGTAAATCGATTCGCCGCCTCAGCTTCACAGAATGTCTCGGGGGAATCGTCCCAACTTTTTTTCGATTTTATGGTCATGGGTTCGAATCCCWMCACTCAAGKTTTTTTTTCATATTTCTTTTTTTTTCTTTTTGTTGTTGTCTTTGATTARCTTCAYACATTAATGATTGTTTGCAATATCTCCAGAATCATTTAGTAATTATTTCTATATATTTCTATAATGTGATACCGGTATTTTAAATCGCGCTTTCATTGGCTTTTTTTCATTAAACGTATGATAGGTTTTCACAGCGCGGCGATTGCGCAACCGAGAATCAATTTTTAAACAGAGAGTGGCCGAGTTATGTTTTCTATTCGTACGGACATGGTATATATTCTGACATTTTCTGTAATTAGATAAGATATCGATTTTAAAATACTATAATTTTGTTTAGAGTCAAATAATAATATGAATACGCTGCAAACTTCCTGATTTTACCATGCACATTTAGCCCGGCATACAATACATCATCGCGAAAAGCGACACGGAATGTCAGACACGGAATGCAGCAACGTCACTACTATGGTCTCAATACCTGCTAACACGTTTTGGATTTTTCTTGTGTATGAATTTATGATTAATCATTTTTTTCGTGGAAATAGTCGCATTTCGTCTTATTTGAAAGAGAAAATCCATGTCCGCACGAATAAGTCACGCAATCTATTCATACGAAAATTAAAAGAAAAAGTAATGAAAAACRTAATTCAAAAATTTCTTAATCTAGTTAACCGTGATTCGAAAAAAATAGTCGTGAGTCGTGAAATCGCCAAATTTTTAGCCGTGAGTCGTGATGCGTACCACCCCATTGAGACCCTCTTGTACACTGGAAAAAAATAGCGCGCTTTTTTGCAGTGGTATTCCCAGATGGCTTAACCTTGGGATTAATTTCAATTTGGTGAAGAATGTACAATTGGCTAAAAATAATCCGAATTATTGTGATATTGTCAAATGTTATTACCCAGAAGTTATCCATTTTAAACGGGACAAAAATAACATTGAAATATGATTTTATCTATTTGTGTTGAAATGGTTTTCCTGTGTCTTCAACCTCCATCAAGATACCGCTGTCAYTTACACACCCGGCTCACGTATTGTGTATTGTGCATGATTTTTGACGATAAAACCTCTGCAAGTTTGTGCAGAAAAGTCTTGCTGAATATCATCAAGAACTTCTGAAAGAACAGGTGAGTACGAAGTTCATTTYTCTGTTAATTCCATAACGTAATTGAGCTTGCTTCCACTATTGTAACGACTATAAGCTTTATTAAAGAAATGTAAATATTCAGTGTTGGTCGTGACTTGGATTAAGCTACCTTATTATTGTCACGAAAATATAAGCTTAAGCTTAGGTTTTTTGCTTTCTTTGCAATAGTAAGTGATTCTTGCCAACTTAACCCAGGCCACTAATAAACCTAACCATAAGCATACAGAACATGTTGTATAGTGAGATTCAGCTCAGGTAGAAAATATAAATTAACGTATGGTCGTGACTCGACGCATATCACCCATCACCAGAAACGCTACGATATCATGAATTCATATTATTGATGGTACACGTAGGCATTTCAAATAATTATGTATTTATAAAACGTTTATGTAACATTTTTTATTGATATTTGAGGCTTTTAATCTATTGTGATAATAATAACCCGAGAACAAAGGTTATTATTCTATGTATTTTAATCGATATCAATATACGACATTTTTGTTTTCGGTTTTATTGAAGGCTCTATTAATTCTCTTATTATTTTTTTAGTTTCTAAGATCTACATTGAATCCTGACCGATATATTCTCCAATAAAATTGTTTACAATAATGTTAAATTTATTTTAATTTAGGTGTTTTCGATAGCAACTATGAAGTTCCAGTGGACTAGAAACATGGCAGGTCAGACACTCTCTGATGAAGAAATGTCAGCTATAGCTTACCCTTTAGAAGAATTGACAGTACATGTTACAACCAAGACCATTCAAGCATGTGCAATCCTTGGTATCATCATTGGTCCTGTCGTTCGTCTTGCAAGAGGTCCCAGAACATTAGGCGCACTCACAGGAACAGCAGTAAAGGCTGCGAAGATTGGTGCCTTGATTGGTGTCCCTATGGGACCTGCAATGACATATATGAGGATCAAAGGAGCAAAGGTGGATGATGATGGCCTTTACGATCGATGTTATCGGCTAAGATATAACCGCAATCAAGTGCGTACAGATAGGTTTGCATATCTTGGTACTATAGGAGGAGCTGCAGGAGCCTTGGCTATGGGGAGCCCTTTGACAACAGGGGCTGTTATGGGTCTTGTCAGTGGGACGATCCTTGCTGGTGTGTAYAACACAGCCACCGAAGAAAAGAAGACATCTTAGAAGAACATTAGCATTTCTAGATAATGTACATGACCTGCTCAAATATTAATCAGGAAAACAGTCGTCATTATGTTTAAAAATRATACTAACATTAAATAGAATATATTTGGTACCTCTGTGAAATTAAATATTGTTTTGTTTTTCCTACATTTGATTTTATCTTTCTTTTACCAAAACTGTAAACTTCCTCGTGATTGGTATTTAGTTTTAACTGTGCTCCAASCATATTATATACTTTTACCATTTATATCAATAGAAATATATAGTTTATTGAATGCATGGTAATTCCAATTTATATCATTTTTAACATGCTCTTTTAGAACATGTGACCTAATTCTCAGGACTCTGCTTGATATCACTTTTCATTGGCCTATCCTTAGGACAAGTACATCTACCAACTAAGAGTGGAGCTGATAGCAGTGATAAAGAGTTGCCTTGTGGCAAGGACATTAAATGCTAATTACTATTGATAATTAAAAGATTGTTCTTTTTTAATCTTATGCATGTTGCTATTCAAACATTACCCTTTAATTGACATTCTTTGTTAATCAATGTTTCCATATCATTATACATTGGTCATTTGGTTGGAAGAAAACCACTCAAGCATGGACTTATTACGTGGGCTTCCTGTGGAAGACCACGTCTTAAAATGCAAGTGGACTTTTCGTCGTCGTAATTTTCRCCTTTGAAGAGTTTGAGTTGAGCATTAAAATAGCCCGGCGATCACAGGTAGCCCAAACTAGGCATTTGTGTACTTTTTAGAAATATTCAAAATATAACAAAAATAAAAATATCTATCTATGTATTGTGTTTTTCTTTACATTTCTGTGAAGTTTCAGGTCATTTCAATTTGAGCGATTTATGGCTGTCGTTCTCCAGCGTCGCTTCAAAAAACTGGGCCTCGTGCATAACTTATTTAGCTAATGAAAAAATCTACCGCCAAATTAAAATAGCTTTGGCGCATTTTCCGWAATTCGGAGTGTCTAWACGTCAGGCAGTCAAATTTTTTCKTTAAAAATCGTCGAAACAACCTTAAYTTCAATTAATACAACAAGGGGAATGCAAKAAAGACCRAAATAATRCTGTTCGACCAGTTTCAAACACAAGCACGGCATTTTGAGATTTTTCGACTGCCTGACGTTTAGTCCCAGAACTAAACATCAGGCAGTCGATTTTTTTGTGTGAAAAATCGTCGGAACAACCGTAWTTTCTTTTATTTGAAAAAAATATAAAGACTTTTAAACCTTTTAAGGTTTTAAAAAAGGTTTTGAAAAAAAGAAATTACATAACAGGATTATTGTATAACGGAAAATATGTATAATTCGAAAAAAAATGTAGAGTGAGAAGAACTGTTTAATGTAACTGATGTTTTTGTATATTATAAATATCTTTCTTATAAAAGTTTGTTAAAAAGTCCGAAATATTATGACCCTAAAGAGTCAAATTAATTGTAACGTACTTTAATATTAAAGTTAGCCACCCCCTCTGAAAAATCCTGGATCCGCCCCTGTGATGCTGCCGTTCAAGCGATGGAAGACTGTATCAATGATATCAGAGGATGGATGGCTCACCATCAGCTTATGTTAAATGAGATTAAGAACGAATTCTTGATTATYGGCTCCCGCCAACAACTGGCCAAGGTTAACATCAGTAAGATCCATGTGGGCTCTTCAGAGATCAAGKCAGCCAACTCTGTTCGTAATTTAGGAGCTTGGTTTGATAAGTCGATGTCCATGAACGTCCACATTGGAAAGGTATGCAGCAAGGCTTGAAGCCTTCCATGGGCTCTACAAAATTAGACAGATTAATAAATTTCTTTCAGAAGAGTCTACCAAAACGCTTATTCACGCGTTCGTAACTTCACACTCGGACTACTGTAACTCCTTACTGTATGGGGTATCAGATGGACCGTCTACAGAATGTGTTGAATGCTGCTGCTCGTGTTGTCTGCTTCGTTCCACGATATGCGCACATCTTGGGGATGATTTTGGGGATCAACATGGCGTTATTTTGAAGAGTACTTCCCAATATTTCTCTCTTAAGACACTCCTTCATTTTTTWAAGAGCGATTTAAGTAATCTAATCGACCAAAGAAAAAAAGATTATTTTCATCTGTATTTTTTTGAACTTTCCTTTYTTTCACTCTCGTTCATGCGTTCAACTTCCAACATTAGTTTCGCCTGATGATGATTTAGTAATTAAATCGAAATGTAGCGTTTTGATTTCATCTTGTCTATCCATTTTTGATTGGATATCAATCATAATAAATATCAGTCATAACCTCAAACTATCAGCCTCGCYTGTTATTTTTCAACATTAGACTTGTTAACATATCCTTTTCGTTTCTTGTTAATAACCGTTTATAGTTGTACTAACCTCCATCACTGATTGAAACGCACGATACTTTTTGCATCATCATAGCTGTCTTATACGTATAGCGTCGAATGCCGTTAAAAATTGATCACTAGCTTTTGTTGGCTTATCTAAAATTCCATCAAYCTCATCCGATTCAAACCCTCTGGAAAAAATAGGCACGAAATGTTGTTGATTAGTTATATTCAATTCTCAATGATTATTATGTTTTTAAATCACTAACATTTGTATCCTATGTATCAATTTGATATTTTGAGGATTAAAGTCATTATCTTATTCATTACTACGCCGTATCATTATTCTAGTCGACTTGATAGTGTACGCATAAGTTGACCAAGACATRGTGCCGTAACGACGATTTAAGTCACTATGAAGACAAGCGTTGTCCTTGCCGTAATACCACCATGCTCCTTTAAACTGCACTGAGCATGAGCAGTCGTCACATCTATCGTTGTCATTGTCTTTAGTTGAAAAGGCTTGTCCCACATGATATCTAGTGAGGGAATCTCCCATGTAATCTGAATAAAAGAGAAAGTRGAGGTTCTGTTACTGACTGTGMAATTTTCTCGACAACGCTGYTTCGACACAAGTAGCGCAGAAAATTATAGCCATGATACACTGTACAATTTTCCCCACCAAGTTACAATATATTTGGGCTGAGGTAAGCCAGAATTAAGATGGCGAACAATCGAAATGAGAAATTGCGCATGCTCTAACAACGTGTGTGAGTCGAAAATTGCGAAAAATTTGCTGAAGGGGTGATATACTGTGCGGTGGCGTTCYAATTTGCTGCAATATGTTGCAAATAGTAGACCTGCATGAGTTCTAGCTACTTCGTGCAACGCTACTCGCAACAAAAAAAGTTCCTATGCGACTCCTGTTACTGTTCCAACTTGTATCTTAAGGGGACATGGTCCACTAGCATGCAATGCGGTCCTGTTTTAGATTTTTCATATATGGAAAATGAGGTGACGAATATCCATTTGCAATCCGTTTCTATCCATCGGTTTAACGGTCGAATCTTAAAGCATCTCCATTCATATAGGATAAAGGAATAATAAAGAGTAAGTTTTTGCTTATTTTACGATGTATTTCTATTTTGAAACATAAACAAAAGCTCGAAAGGGATGCTGGTGGACCATGTCCCTTTAAGGGCATTGCGGAAYATGCAAAACTAGTTGCTGAGTGTCACAGGATATCAGTTAAAATGTATMTGTAGAAAGGAGCCTTGTTGACGGCTATTAAAATAGATATTTTTATCGTCGCCATTTGGATTGCTATCGCTATAACACTGTTGATTTTTTTATACAGTTTGAGCCTTACCACCATTCAGGAATCGTGCATTTAATAATCTGTAAGAAGCCTCTTTACTTGATACGCTAAAGTTCCCGTACAACACATATCCCCGTTGAGTTCCACCGGTCGCTGCCACTTCAATCAGCAGCTCAGAATTTCCTGCTAGCGTCAAACGATGTATCCTATCCAAGCCAAGCCAGAATTCTCCGTCAAGTTGCCCGAAGCCGTTCGCGTATGCATCCCATGATTGGTAAAAGTCTTGCGAGCCATCAAGTCTCCGTTGTATAATCACCCAGCCTCCCTTCAATTTTAGYTGCTCACAAAGGACTGAGAAASTCCCTCTGCCGTCGGGGTCAATCCTGTAGAGTTTATTCGAGTCTTGACCTTGACTAAGTGCATCAGAGCAGTCCTTATCTRAGGCAAAGAAATGATAAAATAGACGATATTTCCGAGTCGTTGCTATGTTATAAGTTATAATAGTGGTGGTTATTAACGAGTCGTTACTTACATGGTACTGCAGGTGTTGGAGGAGTAGTTGGAAGGGTAATGGTCACATCACAATCCGCGTCCCATATCTTCAGTGGAAAGATTTAAAAAAATTACAGATGGCAAGTTTCAGTTCTTATTAACCTTGACTGAGTTTATTATTCATTTGATATAAAAGGAATCAAAATAATAGAGAAAGAAAAATAAAAGCTTTTTGCGCACTACTTCATTCCAATACGTTGTCACATTGTCACATTGTCGTTGGTGCTCACTTTCCTAAAAAGAATACCTTTTTTAAACATATGCACAAAGGACGATGTACTGGTTCCCYTTTAATTGGTAATGATACTTTCATCAAACAGTGGAAGCGCAAAACTGATGGCCGGAAAAAATAAACATTCCACTTAATCAATATTGCGGATGCGCGAAATCATTAAAAGCTTTTCATTGTGTTGAATATTTCCTCTGATATAGTGACGRAGGATAAATTTCTTTAAAACTTGAAGTCTACTGTCATGGTCTGTTTGTGGRATTCATATAATGAACTTCTGTATATAAGTCATTGTTTATTCAATTTTCTGTTTTCTAAAGTAAAAAAAAAGACTTGAACTCTCCCACGCGCAGAACACTTTGGCGCGTTATTGACATTTAGCGCCACAATTATATTGAATTCTGTTCGTACATACAGTTGTCGGAGAATTGAATTGATTAAAATGAMATTTCGACGTCAGATAAATAATGAAAAATGAATAGAAGTGAAATGACTAAGGAAAAAAAGCGTCTAAAAAGAAAATGGAGGTTTTTCAAAAACGTTTGCTGCCAGAAATTGTAAGGTGATAAAAAGTCTTGTAMTGAAAACCGTGCAATATGTGCTACATTAACGGAAACATATGGGTCGTTGTTTATCGATAKCACCCGGAAATGTCAGGTTCGAGCAAAATTGCACAATTGAGAMTTCGACTTGCTCATGGAACTCACATCTTTACATGTCCTATTATAAGGAATATCTTTTAAAACAATGCTGACTGTTTTATAGTCATTTAGTACTTCACGGTTTTAATATCTTCAAATCCTAACAGYTTCAATTCTGTTAGTCTTTTAACTGTCTTTGATATAGAAATATTGTTAGATTGTTATCTATGTCGCTTTCTTATAAAACAAGATAGCATCTTATAAATAACACTACAAAGWAGTTTGTTTATCTGATTCTTTTTTTKTGTGTGTGTGTGCGCTTTTCTTTCTTTTACCTTTCTCTCATCACTTTTTTTGCTTAATAATTATAACTTTCCTTGTTTTCGTTAGATTAACCATCTCATCTCGTTATTTAATCTCTGTTCTCTTGTCTTTTCGTCTTCTTACATCTTACGTTACATACTCCTATTTGTCTTGTTTACTTCATTTATCCTCTTCCACTCTTATTTCATTTATTCTATTCTATTTAATGATATTTAATTCCATTTCAACGCCATGGTTTAATCTAGTTGTTTACAAACGCCCAAGTAGTCCTACCGGCGAAAAAGTATTTGCTCGGTAATTAATTTTGTACTTGAAATTGGAATTAAAAAAAAACTTGTGCTATATTTCTGACAGCTCAACATTTTTTATAAAAATTGAATCTCATCGTATCCTCAATGCCGTAGAGTTTTGTACATTTCGGGCTGTTTAGTGCCCCACGGCTACTCTTATCTTGATAATATTGAAAACTCTAGAGTTGAAGATGTAGGGGGTCGCATTAGGAGTAAGGTGTATTGATATCTATTTTGTTCGATCACGATTTTTCTTTCTTTCTTTAAGCATGTCATTTTTAGCAATAGATTCTTAGCCCTTGACATTTTACTAATTTAGCATTAATAGAAAGCGATATATGCGATCGAATTTAATGTGTGTCAAAAACTATTTCAGTTTAATGTATCATAAAGCCCGTTAACAAAAGCAGCCGTTAGGAGAGATTACTTCTACAATAGTTCGACTTCATCATCTTGTAACGTCCAAATCATAAAGACTTGGAACAGAAAATCTCTGGGCAAAAGTACATAGAAAAACTAGTTAGTTATTAAGTTATTTTATGTAATGATGGTATAGTTATCTTATGCAGCAAGAATAAGAAAAGCGCGCGAATAGTAATTAGAGAAACTTATGCATATGAGAGAGCCGAAAAAGAAAAAAAGAGAGAAAGACATGAATTAATTTGTACCTTTTTAGAGGAGGTTTTTTTAAGCTGCTGATAAACAAATCCACTTGAGAAGCGAAGTACKTTTTCTGAACAATCTCCAGTTGTGCGTATCCCACATTTGCTCAATTCGCAAAAGTTCCTTGGACTTCCAATTTCGAAATTGTAGGAGATACATTTCTCGGAAACCACGCAGTCTTTTATGCATTCAAACCAGTCCACATTCATTCGCACATWGAAAATTCCTTTTGTGATGACCATGTTTTGATRAACTTGCGGGTAAAGCTTTACCCATTTCATTCTGAATSCACAAATGACGAAAAAACATGACAAAAACTCACGTAGAACAACACGGGGCATAATGTCGACATTAACGCGATAATCTCACACCAGTTCAGACAGGAGCGTAAGCTTATGTACCCTGATCATTTACACCTAATTGAAAAAACGTGTAGTCGGATTCAAGAAGATTGAAAATGACATCAGCAATGTTTAAGAGACCGAAAGGAAGCATGGGATAGTAATTAGTTATGTGTATAATATCTGTTCCTCTTCCAAACAGTGCCTTTAGTAAATATTTATTCCTTTTATCATTCCTTCATGACGTAACATCCTCAGGCAAATATCGAGTTTCCTAGTACCCACAATCCCCTTCGTTCTTAGCTTTGATAATTTGGCCTTTTTTGCGAACCGCGTCAACAGTCAATGGGTTATGTTGTCATCGTATTTCATTAAAATGTCGTTGGTGAATTATGACACATATCTACCAGCAATCCCAGCSACGGTAATGATGAGTTGCGCTCTTTTTTGTTGACGCACGCGATGTTATTATTGGCGTGAACACGCATTGACTTCTCGCCTGAACAACTCAAGCAAAATCATACGCTGTTATTTTCAATGACTTGATATAAGAATGAAAAGAGGAGTGAAAAAGATATTAGACTAACTCCTTGGAAATGACAGTGTAATTATTCAAAATTGAAAAATATCTCGGTATTGATTTTTTTCAGAAATACTTGCCCTCAAGTATCATGAGCAAACAAGACAAACAACACGAAAGCGTTCATTACCGATAGAAAAAATTAAATAAAAGCTAATTGGAATAAAAACATTTCCTTAAAAAATGCGCTATATATACGTCGAAATTAAATATTCTTTGCCGTTCTTTGACTAAACTAAAGGCTTACTTCTTTATAAAGCTATACCTAAGTTGTAAAATAGGTTTCCATAAAACGAATTTTTGTACTTTAAGAATTAACTAGAATTCGAAAGAAAGGGTTCTACAGCTTGACTAGTGGCCATCGTCCGTAGTCTCTTAATGTATTCTTATGTTTCTAAATCTTAAAATATCTTTTATATTATCGGCTGAATTGTCAATATACATACTTTCTGAAAGCATTTGGCAGAATACCAACCTTGCTTTCTAAATTAGCAGTTTGCCAAGAAAGTGATATCATGAATATTATTTTGACAAGTATATTCCATAAAGCTCTCTTCTGAGACACATTTATCTTAAGGCACTAAAGAAGTTATATTAAAAAAGAAGTTATATTAAAATCTGATGCTATAAAAAAATTCTAGGAAATGCTTTTAAAAGTTGGAAAGAAGTGGACAATATTTTAACAAATCACTCGATATTGTAGTTGTTATTTATTTTACCGTATATTGTAGTCTGACAAATACTGTTTAGAAGCCCATGCTCAACGATTGGGTGTTTTACAGGAACCTGTTAAATATATTCTAGTGAAGTACACTTTGTTACACTTAGTTGTGCACGTTTTCTWTATTCTTCTCGGTGTGTATTATTCCATTAAGTTCTGAAAACCACTCTATTTCCGAACGTATTTTTCTCAAGTCGTTTCTAAGACYAACCCCTTTCTCACACTAATATTTCACGTAATGTGTTATCCTCTATTGATATACGTAGATGAAAATTCATCTCATTTCTGAATCGTTTGTGATAAAGTCATTAAAGTCAGTGTGCTAGAACCCATTTCCTAGTTACCTACTACGCGCAATCATGATAGATAAAATGAACACCAAATATTAAATACTTTGCGCTATTTTCTGTTGAATAGTACCAACTATTTATTTACTTTTTTTTTACTAGTCTTATTCTTTTGCAAAAATTCGCAGTTAATATTTCAGAGTTATGTGCATGTAAATTATCAAGGAATATTTCGGTTCAGTCGTCAAAGAAAAGAGTGAAGCGCGGAGAGTGTTACAGTAGATGCAGAGAATATTCGATTCCGTGAAACACAAAATAGACACACAGATACCAATAGTACTTGTATTTTAATGAAAACATCCAAATCCATTTTTACATATTATACRCTATCATCATGTACAATATTACAGCATGATCTAAAATCTGGTATAAATCTATTGAAAAACATTTTATCATCAAGTTAGCAACTGTTACTAAGGCAAAGTTTACATAACAAGGACGTTGCCGTGGAACAGTGTTATAGAGCTAATTTAGATCACTCTTAAACTAATGCGGGACCATGCTCTTTTCGTTCCCTTTCGTTGTCACTTTTGTGTTTGCATGGAGTCACTTTTCGTTAACGATTTACGGTAAGAAACCCTTGCATCGCGACCTCGAATTTTTGAAGTTCATTAGGTTTTGCTGCGACTTGGTGCGGCGTARTTTTAACCGATCAGCCTAGTTCATTTCATCAGTAGAAAGGATTAATGTATAAATATTTCTGATTTAAGTGTTTAATTTTTGCTGTTTTTTTCTTTGTCGCAGAAAAACCCAAAATGCTGGATGACCTTTGAGTCGCCATACAATATGGTTTTCCCTGTAAAGTGTTCACATTTGCTGCCACCAAAARATATTGTCGTTCTTTCAACACACAAAAAACTCTTTTTCAGGATAGAGAGTTCMGATCTTTTGGAAAACTTCCAATAATTGCCACACTGTCATTGGAATGTCTTTMATCAACTGATCCCGTGCAAACACTGCTGCGGCAATATCACTGCGACAAGTGGAAAGGTATAATGGAGTCAATGCGAGCTCCCCGAAAAGTTAATGGCCACGTCTAAAAAAAATATCTTTTTATGTATCATTAGAACATTTGCTAAAAAATGAAACTGTACGTTTATTGATCAATCTGACTAAGAAACCATTGTTTAAAATTTTTTCTATAAATGAAATCAGTTGTTTTGCCGTCTTCCTGTTCAGAGACCAAGCGCTTGAGTAGATCAAAACGACAAAAAACCTTGATTAGAACACGAGGCCGCAGGAAATACAKGCGAAGATCCATGAAGGATTGTCTTGATGGAGGAGTACCCAAGGGTGGGGGTACAGTGTACAAAAGTTGTCAAAAAATAGCAAATWAGGGTGAAATATTACAAGACAAAAAGTCCCAGGTGCTGCACACCCRTCGGCTGGATCCACCGTGACAATGTTTGAAAGTGGCGCGAGTCTCAGATATGATTTTCTCAATGCTTCATGAATAAACACCTGCATTAACTATCAAAACCACCTCCGATTAGCTATTGATCTCTTTTTATTCATGAAACTGAGTAGGCATTAATTTTTTTTTTCTTCGATTAGTTATAAACCATACAAACTTCTATCATACAATATACAACTATAAAAAACCTTATATAAAAAGTATTCTTACAGAAACAATACAAATGAATATATACCAATACTTGGAGCAACCACTTGAAAACCCTTATGAAAATGAACCCTAAACAGTCCGCCGTGTCGAAGCGTTACCTCTACAACTTCCAATATAGAAATGTGCAAACCGTCAGTTGGTTGGTTTGCAAGCAAGATATCTATTCCTAAATCACATTTTCCCATGCATCATCGACTATATTACCAAAAAATTAAGAATTTGGATTGCAAAATGCCGATTTTTCGATAATACTAATGCTTTTTCAGCTTGAAGGGTGAGATAACAACTGCTTTAAGTGCTTTATTTCACAACTATATCGCTGTTTTGTTGGAAAAACCAAATGTTTTTCATAGAGCAAGTTAACTTGCTCGATGATGCCGATACCGATGATTAAGTGATTGCTTTGACGATATGATTAATAGTTTAACAATTTATTATGGTTGATCAGCTTGAGTATAATTACATGACTGACCAATAAGTTGATCGACTGTTGATTGGTTCATCATATTATTGTTTGCATTAACGATTGCATATTTTCATTTCGAGATAAAGAAAGCGAGTTGTCGCCGACTATCCCTAACCAATCGCTAATAAATAAATATGTATTCGCAAGACTTAATTCAAGAAATTCGCTTCATAATTAATTTTCAGCCTTTGCTTCTCAACTATTGCTTTTGCTATTTTTCCATTTTTATCGCTATCTTATTTTACTGCCACTTTCARTAGTTTTGTTTGTACTGGAGTTTCATAAGGAAAACTTTGCAAAAATATGAATTCTTAGGGGAAAAAGCAAAAAGAGTAGAATTATAGTGAGTTTCGTAGGTATATCAAAAGAATATCGGAAGTTTTTAAAGCATAAATGAACTCACTTTTCTTTCTTTTCTTTGATGATCAAGGTCTGTTTACATGAAAGCGCAACGAGAATTTCTTGAAAAACTAGGACTAAAATGCTACCGCTAAGCCAAGCCATTGACTTGGATAAATATTGGATGTCATAAATATAAAATCACAGGAGATTAATCAAATATTTCACTTCTTRATAAATACGTACAGATATTATATGMCATTAAAAATCGCACAAATAATCGCAAAAAGATTAATTTCGATTTTTACAATAGTAATCAATAAAACCGAAATATATACTTCAATACTGACTGATATCAAAGCATGGATTGATTATCGACTAATCATCGAGTAGTTACTATATATGGATTGCTGGTCGACCTATGAAGCCTCGTTCACAATCAAGGAGAAAATGACGAAAAAGGAATTCTCATTTATACAGCTCAAAATCGTCATCGTATGTTTACAAGAAATGCAATGAAAGTAAAGACAAAAACACACACAAATACAAAAAACACAAACAAACAAACAAACAAACAAAACAAGTCTCTGAATTACATCATCGGTCATGGATTCATTGAAAATTATAAACATGTTTTGAAAACTCAACTACGAATGTGAACTAGACTTCGACAAATCGACGATTACTTGACAAGTTTTTCCAAGGCCAAACAGTCGAAAAGCCCTTCTACATATTCCACTGTTTCCCCAAAAGCAACAATTGCAGCRATACAACCTTCATCTACATCCATGGAGTACAAAATGATAATTTTGCCATGACTTTTTTCATTGATCTTGTTGACTTTTTTGATTAGTTCACTTGTGGAGCAGTCTTGGTTGTCAGCAGACTTGAACAAGGATTTCGTCAAACCGTCACGTGCCATCACTGGAGCGATTAGCGCATGCGGGGTAAAGCCGGTCAGACGGGCATTCATGTCGACTAAGTAATCACCACTTGAGCTTGTAATGATGTCGATTCCTTAACAAGACATACATGACAATAATTAGAAAGGACGATCTACGCTGTTATCATGAAATTGATATCTAAACATGTAGAAAACGAGACACTTGTACCGTGTCATTGCTACCAGTATTGGTGCTTGTCAGCACAGTGAGCTAGTAATAAACTTTAACAGCGGGACAAGTGCTTCGTCTCTCAAACGCTAAAGTACTTATAGACCTGCTCGTGCAGAACATTTATCATACCTGCAATGCCAAAATAACCTTTCTTATGAAGATACTCAGCAACGGGTTTAATGAAGCGTTCGTAGACACGGTCCTTATGGTAATCACGAAGGTCCCAGTCCACCACACTTCCAACCCAATCATAGTCCTTGAGCAGGTTGACATTGGTGCCCAACCAATGAATGTCTCCTTTCTTGTTCAGATAGAACTGACAACCGAGCGTCTCCTGGACATCCTGAATAAACTCTGAATAAAAAACAAATCACATAAAAATTTAGAAAATCAAATCAATAAAAAAATGTTTTTGCATGGATATACATTTTGCTCAACTTAAAGCCTCAGGATGATGTTAGAAAACATACGTGCTTGCGCGCATCATGGTGCATGCTAACGACATGGCCAGTCCCATAGGCCTTTATTGAAATAGCCCTTATACAATTTGCGTCGTGGTCTAGATTAGGTACAAACGTYTTTTGTTCATACACCCAATATAGTGTTGTTTGTATATACTGACGCTTTGTAACCATCCACCATGATTTGTTTTTTAAGAGAAAATACGTCAATGCCCACGTGACCACCTACCGGTAATGACGTAAGGAGCTGCCTTGCCATATGCTTCGTTTACAATCTCCAAAGAATCGGCAAGTTCTTCTTGATTGTACGCGACAAAGTTGCCATAGCCGCTGAGACTCTGGTCAACCTTCACCATGCAGGGGAAGACAACGTCTTCCTCCGTGTAGTGACGGGGGCATGGAGCTCCGGTCTCTGGAATTGCACTCTTGAGCAGAATCTGTATAACAAAATGATAAATATCATTTTGAAAGGGTAGCAGAAGCTCCGATCATTAAAACTAAGCTGTGGTGTGATAACGTAATGATTGACAAGAATATTATTAGTGATTAACAATTTTTCGAACCTAGGTTCATTGATACGAATTTTAATTCGTAAAAGCATTCAATACATCAGTCAAGTAGCACTGRGCACCCTACCTTGTCGCCGCCGATCAATGTTTTTATTTTCATGATCATTAAATCTGTGTCGTGATTTGGAAAGTTCACCATTCGAGAAGATGAAAAATATCGCGCGCGTAGAGACTGAACTTTGACACGTGACAACCAATATGAAGTGCTTTGATGTCAACGAATGAAAGCGCATTGCGATATCTTCTAAAAACATTATCCGAAACTGCRATTTCAGAATATTTTGATGTACTTACATGGTAATGCATCTCGGGCTCAATCGCATGCTTTTCTTTGGGGATCCGCTGCATTGGAAAGATCGTAATGATCGGGTCCTCGTCCTCGATTCCTTCGTCGATCGTCTTAAACTCGGGTTCGGGGAATTCTGGTAGCCATCTCTTCCAATGAGCTTGAAGCTCGTCAACAGGGGCTTTGTCCATCAGAATAGGAAACTCGTTTCCTGCGATAGAACAAATTCGTCCTGGGTAGAGATACAAGAAGGGGTTGTTCTTCTTAGGTCCTTTCTGTATGTCGAAAATGCGGTATTTCTTGTCGTTGAGGAAACGATAATCCTTGACGAAGGACGTCGGATAGTTGGACAGAATGTTTGCGTTCTTCAGGTCTTGGTGGAATAGGTTTCCTAATGTCAGTGGTCCGTCCTCATTGTTAACCTTGTTGATGTTGTTATTGGAGTCCATATCCATATAGTAGCTGAAATAGTGTGAATAGAGTATAAAATGTAAAAATCAGAAAATAGTACAGAAGAAAACAATCACTATCCCAACAAATATTGTGCCTTGTAATCTCATTATGTTATCAGTCTTAGTTCTTATCGGAGAGCTTATTAAAATATTCGGCAATACTTGGCAAAGCGAAACCTAAAAATTCACGAGTTGTAACTAGGGTTTGAACGTAGTTGACGTTCATCAAATTTAAGAAAACTAGTGTGGAAAACCTATAAGATAGTAACCTAAGTTGTTTAGAAATAAATATCTTAGAATCCTATGAGAACTTTGAAACAGGTTACCTACATAGACGTATTGTGTACGAAACAGATATCCTATATTAGGTCTAATCACAATTATGTCAAAAGAGGTATTTGTACGGGTAGCATTTAACGATAACCAGATGGATAACTTACTAGAAAAAGGTTCAGAAATATTAATCTCATAATGTTGTCTTATAACACTTCCCTGGAAAACAAAGACCACACAAATGCCACAAATCCGCGTTAGCATCGACGAGCCTCAGAGATTTATGGGTGCTTTGAATGGTCCGTTTGTTTTGTACGTTTTGTACTATGATAACGGCTTGAAACTTTGATATTTAGATTGAAACAAGGGATTCATGCATCTCTTGTACTGTCAATTCAAACGTTATTCCCTGGGTATTTATTTCATTTCGACAGTAACATTGTACTTGTATTATACAATTTACATAAATACAATGTTGTCACGCAAAAATGCAAAATTAGCGTTTTTGGCCTTGCTTGAGTGATGTTTGTTTTTCTACCTGGCTTCTAATGAACTGGTAAAAATCATTTGGCAGGCTTTAAATATGTTTGTCTGTCACGTGACGCCGGGTCAGATCGTATGCTATCTGTTTGTAAGTCTTAATGTCATCAACATGAATGGACGCCATTTCCTATGATTATCTCTTATCTTCAAGTCCAAACTACCTCCCTTTCTCATTACTTTGGTTCACAATTGATGGTTTTCAACCATTCCCATGAGAGTGAGCAAAACAAAAAGGTCCACCAGTCACGGTGGTGGTTTTCTTTTGTCAGGTCCACCAGCAATGGCGGACATCTTTTGTTAAACTTTCTCTCCTGGGAATGGTTGAAAACCATCAATAGCAGACTGCCATATCACAATTCTAACAAGATATCAAATATTCCAGGCACTGATTCTAGTTGAAATCCCATAATGAAACAAGCTAAAACCTCTCAGAATTTTATGTAGTGTTGGGAGGATCTTGAGTTCTAACGGCTTATTGACAAAAACAACAGATCAACCGAATAATTGAAGACCTAAGCGGTCATCTTCAGGGAACACAAAGACGTTACAAAAACAAAAACGCATTCAAACTGAAAAAAAAAAAATACAACCAACAAAGACCTTTTAAAATTGAAGCAAAATTGTTCCCTAAATTCTACAAAATTATGTCTTTTTTGATGCCGACTTACGAGACGTTCATATGTAGCATTATTGTAGTGGACTATTTTGATGTGAAGTAACAAGCCAAAGATAAGGAAAACACTCCCTTTTTCAGTTCTTGTCAAGGCAGACGTCCAGTAATCACGCAGTGATAGTACCTGTAATTTGCGCGTCTATCTTTCTAGATGCCGCTGGACTATAAATGGAATATTATTCATAACTAATGCCACGTGTTTCTTGAAAGCGTAGGAAGTTTTGTTTGACTTTTTCTTGTATGTCTACAAATTTGTTTAAAAGATAAAGACCAAGAAATACGAAAAAACCTGTTGCATCGTTGAAAASAGCCATATTTCTCATCATTCGAAAGTAGTGAATATCAATACGATTATAATTGACTACAAGTTTAGTGATTTTAACAGGAAGTAAAACGTATGTAGTCTTCGTTTTAAACCATGTTATTTATGCGACAAAAAATAGTAAATGAGAATAATTTCACTCGTTAATTGGGCGGAAACTGGCAAACAACGGCACAAAAAATGAYTGTTTTGATGGCCGGAATTTCATACCTGTGTCACTTCTACTCTCCAATGATTTAGGTGTGCGAGTCCAGACTGAGTCTGAATTTATTATCGAAAGAGAAAGCACATAACCCAAAGTAATCCCATCAATGAATTTGTTTAATTTTGAAATAGTTACTAAAAAATAACTCTGACAGCGCGTGGAAGTGTTTCTGGCTCAACTGCCTGCCAAAGTCAGCATGTGCACTGTCTGAAACCCCAGTCGATCAGTTATTAGCAACCCCGTTTTACAAACTGGTAAATGTTAACCCTAAATATTGCAATTGGGTGTTTAATACAACGAAAACTGAATAACGTGAAATTTGATGTTTACTCCATTTGAACAGTTTTCATTAAAGAAGTCCAATTTCATCTCTATACGTTCATAACTGAAACAGAACTTGTTCGCTAGRCCTTGATAACTGCATTACGATCATTATTTTTTTGCAACCTTTGCTGATAATCCTTCAAAGATACTTATGTTGCAGATATTGCTCTTTAAGTCATTCCATGATTTCATAAACCTTCACTGCTATGAGACTTGTGAGAGAAAGCCTTCTTCAAGAAACCAGTCAAGTTACGCAAAAACATACGAATTCAAGAAACCAGACAAGTTACGCAAAAATACACGAAATAAATTCTGACCGCATATCACACGCAACATTTACATTGTAACACACGCGAAATATCGAATGCTTCTCAGGAAAAGTACCAACAAAGTTATGATCGCTTCCGATCACTCATAACCTTACCGAAAGACTTTTAAATATTTGATGTCTTAAAAACTACGAAGCGAGCTTGTTCACCAGTAAGTTCTCGTTTCGGGTCGCAACGGATCACAAATTCATTTATAGTTTCTGTGTAGAATAGTTCGAGAACAGAGATTTTCATTTCTTGTCATACCTGAACGTTGCTTTTATAATGAGATATCGAGTTTATTGTTGGACCGCAAACTCTTGAAAATGACRGTAGTGGAACGGTCAGAGTTTCTGTTGATTTAAGGTTACTACGACTGACTAATCTTTTCCGAAGGTTCTTAGCCRAAAAAAAGATTGTTATTCTTTCATGTTAACGTGTTCCTAGCAGAATAAACGTCTTTAAGAATCATTTATGGGGATTACCAGCAATGAAATCACACTCATACTACAAACTAAGCAGACATATTGAAGAAGATAAGAAAAACAGGAAAAAGAAAAGGAGAATCGAAGGTACACCGATAGGAAACGAATAGTTAAGAATTGGTATCAAGAAAAACATGATGAAAAGATAAAAGTATAGTAAAGAAGAGAAATGGAAGACCGCAGAAGAGCAGGTAATCAAGATAGGAGGGCGGAGGAAAGGAAGAAAAGAAGGTATGACTGAAGAAAAGAACAAAGGTTGCTGGTGTCCAAAAGCAATATAAAACCGAGAAAAGAAAAAAAAAGTGTACGCAAAGAGAAAAACCCAGGACAATTGATGATAAATATCACCATTAAAGAAACAATTAAGACAGACCTACTTACCTTGAAAATCTTATAAAGATCCTTTAAAATGCTTCAGTTATCGACCTCTAAACCGATCTGAATGAGTAAGCGTCAGATTGACTTGTCTTGTCCCTGATGTTCAAGCTGTGCTTTATCGGAATTGGCGTACATGCTGCAAAGCGCAAAACCTGATTGGCTGCTAACAATCGAGTGTTTTGGAACTAATTTAGATCAATTAAAGCACCCGCGAGARAGGCGTCCGGGCCTTGTTTGCGCGTGCATTAAAGCATTCCTGGAAGAAAACCTGATGCATTTGATAGACGCTTTGTTACAAAAATAGTAACTACAGTGTAATAAAGCCATAATAAAAGCACTTTKTTACGGGTACAACGTAAAAAGCTAATATAACTTCAGCAGAACGACAAAAAACAGTTCAAATTATTTTATAAAACTTTTACTGTCACGCATTGCCCTCGTGATCAACTAAAATTGTAAACAGTAAGTGAATTAACTTTCTGTAAAGGTGCCATATTAAAAAAACCCGAATCCCTTATGAAAAAATAGAGCATCTTTTTATAAAACATACGCGGCAAAATTTACAGGGAAAATTGTCAACTGATTTGAAGCGCGTATTTAAATTTKACAAATCGGAAAGTGGATTTAGAATGATATATACCTGCAATGTATGTATGTAATGTCTTTGCGCGTCACAGTGGTATAACGCTATAATTAGTGTTTGCAAAATTAAGCTCACATTTCATTAAAACTGACGAAGTCTCCTGAGTGTTGATGGTAAACAACAAAAAAGAGAATTTAATACTTTGGCTAAAACAGAATCAAACTGATTACACTTAGATGTAAAGGAAAAGTTTTACACTTTAAATTTTGACATCGTTTTGACCACGTATGCTTGGACATTTTATACAGATTTAGTATTCTATATAAAATTCATTTATCAATTCATTTATATTTTATTGGCTAGCGTGCGCTTAATTTCAGTATCAATTACTCCAAGTTTTAAGATATATTACTCAAAATTAATATTAATCCTTTTTTACAATTTCTTTTACTAGTTAAAAAAATGATTTGAAGCGCGAGGAATTTTCAAAATTACCAAATTTAATGTCCATATGCAAAATAAGCAGCAGAAATATTCATGAAATACCTGCTACTTTTGAACAATTTCGCTTTAGCATTGTTGAATACTTAATTAATTAAAGCAATAAAGGATGGAGGGGTTTATCGGTAGAAACAACAACCAGGGATATCGAGAGGCTTGAAGCGCAAGCGTTAAATAGTAAGTAATTTATGACCTTTTTAAAGTGGCATCTAAAATCCTATATCCCTATATCCACAACAAGACCACTTTATTGCATATTTCATAGCTTTTGTAAGTTAGAAAGTTGAACCCGCTTAGGAGCGTCCAATAAATGTGAAATAGCGTATTTGGACCAATCAGAGAGATCGTAAGAAGAACAATTATTTTCGTGAATGTATAGTTAAACAACTGCATAATTTAGTGTTTGCCGAGGAAATGTCAAGTCGAATACCAAAAAAAGCATTGAGAAACAAAATTAACTAAATGCTGTGTAAATGTATCGCTGTTTACAACAAGACAAAATTTTACATTACTATATTTCATATCATAATACAAATTGAATGTAGAATTTCGCGTATCCATGATGACACCTGTCGAATCCCATACAAAACTTTGACAACTTATTGAGTATTATTTCAACGAGTTGTGATTTTTAAAAACAAAATTTTACAAGGGATCCATTTTTGCCGGTTATTGTAAATTGGAAGGARAAACATTCTTTTAATCAAGCATTGTGCTTGCTATGAGTTAAATACCAGGCAATGCAGTSAGTACAAGCAATGAGCTAGGATCCAAACGTGATCTCTTCGTTTTATATGTAGATTATCAGCGCTTTGTGAGTTTGAAATGTCTGTTGAGAGTCTTTGAAGTGTGTTTTGTTGTTGTCGTCGTCATTATGATRCTTGAGTTTCCCTGGACCAGGTTTCGCTTTAATTATTGCCAACTGCTATTCGAAATGCAAACATACTTGTTGCTCATGACCCGAGCTACTTTCAAATTCTTTGAAGAGTGCAAAAATAGATGAACTGATTCGCGAATTTAGTTAGAAAACAATGAACTGTTCCATCAGTGATATAAACCAATTCGTTCATTTTTGTTCACAGTCCCTATAATACAAGGACGGTAAATGACAGTGCGTCCCGTCATATCGGGAATTTCCTTCATTGCAAGGTTTGTTTGTTTTTTTCTCATRGTTCTATCTATTGAATATCATCTTTTTTCATACTTATATTTTGAGAAGCCACAAAGTGAGTAAAGAATACTGGGGGAGGTATTACTAGTCAAGAGATCCATGGATACCCTACTGTTTGATACAATTTAGTCCGTGTCAGGAAAAGATCTTAGTTTGACAGAGTGTCCTTAGTGACGCTAATATCCATGTTGCAGTTCCCATTACACACCCCGAGCCGTTGCATAAAAGAGAGAGGAGTTGAGCTTGCCTTGATGGCAGGTACCTTTTATATTCTCACCCAAGATAAAGAACCTCAAACCGAGTTTTTTTTTGTTTTTTATTTCAAATAGATTGAACAAGTCGGCTAAAATCTCTTTTTGTTTTTAATGTACTTTTCATTTTTTTCATGGTGCAATGCAGGAAATTGAGCTCACTATTTTTACGATCACTAAAAAGATGCGATGCTTATCCTCAAGGGACTGCTTTATATCCAAGAATTGACATCAAAGACGTAACCAGTTAACGATGAAAGCTTTTTCAACACTGAATATGGCCGAAAGATTCCTTAGAAAATACTGTATAAAAATGCCAGTATTCAAGAGATTTAGGGAACAGAATAGTAACGTAATACAATAGGTATTCGAATATATTCAAGTCGCATAAATTATTGATATTGAATCACTAATGCACATACGTTACGTTTCGAGTAGAGCGGATTTCGTATGACTGTGCAAAAAACACGGTAATTTCGTGCTGTGACCGTACCGTGCCGTAGCGGTGATGTATTGTTAAATCTTTATTTTTATTTGGAATCCTAGAAGGCGAGGTTCCGTGACCGTGCCGTGTCCGTGGTGTGATCAGTACCGTTGCACAGTCATATGAAATCCGCTCTATTAGACAAACGCAGGAAAACCATGAAATAAAATCAAACTCAAAAAAAAATAAATCAAAATAAATCAAAATAATAGCGGCTTTTCCACATGGGACCATTTTTCATTAATCTTTATGGCGTTGTGGTTCATCGATACTGACAATTTGTCTCTAAATGGTCGCTATTTATTATAGTATTTAGTTTGATTTTATTTCACGGTCTTGACATCTCATTTCTTGCTCTACCGGCGTATTCTTACCTTACATGAGGAATGGTCTCTCTAGAGTATTCAATTCCGAGATACTACACGTATAACTGTAGTTTTCAGATCGACTACTTTTGAAAACGTAACGATTGGGAATCAATCCGGTATATGCGTTTCGTAATATATCGTGGTTCCGAATCACAAAAGAATACGCCTTTTTCCCGTTCAAAGCGAGTAACCGCTGCTTTAGTTGACAACAGTCTCTAAAGCGCCAGAGATTTTTCCAGAAACAAAAAAGAAAGCACGAAAAAATGTTGTCATCACCACAGCCTTAAAAATTTCCATTTTCTCGGATTTGATGTTTAAAAGCCTGTTCCCAGATGGCTCATACTCTAGATATTGTGGGAATACAGGCTTAGGCACGAAGAGATTCAAAGAGATTCACGAAGAGGGCTATTGTTCCCAGATGGCTCATACTCTAGATATTGTGGGAATACAGGCTTAGGCACGAAGAGATTCAAAGAGATTCACGAAGAGGGCTATTGTTCCCAGATGGCTCATACTCTAGATATTGTGGGAATACAGGCTTAGGCACGAAGAGATTCAAAGAGATTCACGAAGAGGGCTATTGTTCCCAGATGGCTCATACTCTAGATATTGTGGGAATACAGGCTTAGGCACGAAGAGATTCAAAGAGATTNTAGGGGCGGCAACAGAGAAAGAGCGAGAGCCATATGTTTTCGTGGAGTAAGGTCTAACAGATAGGAGTAGTTCTTTAGAGGACCAAAGTGTTCTTTTAGGTTTGTATACAGAGATCAGTTCAGAAATGTAAGACGGAGTAAGACCATGTAGTGCTTTGAAGGTAAGTAGAAGAATCTTGTAATGCCATTTAGCCATCGAAAAATAGTGTTGCTTAACYTAAAACCTTTTCAGCCTCTGCAAGTCACTGACTTTTGCGATTTGTGCAATTGATGGGTTTAACACAGTAATTCTGAAAATGCAAACCGAAGTGGATCCTGAATTTCTCCAGTATCACTGAGTTGGATAAAAGGAGACCAGGCTGGAGTACAATAAAGAGAGCATTTAGATACTGTAGTTGTAATTTTATAGTTTTCTTATAATATGTACCCCTCCCATCAGGGCCCCAGTTAGATTGTAAGGCCACCCAGCACACTGGGACACACGAGGTTCTAGAACATGAACTAGTATTAAAAAGAAGTTGTTTTTTCCGAACATAGTTTTCTGTTTACAATCACACTTGTGAGTTTAAAACAGATACCACGACCTACCTCAATAGATTCAACAAATTTCTCAGCACTTCCAGATGTTGCTTCTTCAGTGACTGCTTCAATTAGCTGATCTAGTTTTTGTGCTTCTCCAGTTCTAACAAGCTGAACATAGAAGTGTTCAGGGTTGTCAATGGCAGACACAAACACCTCAATGAAGTCACTAGTGTCTGGGAATTGGACTGTATAAGGTACTGGTGATGACATATTAGTTTCTGAAAAATAAATCTAGTTTTAAATGAAGGGGTTTCTTGTTCCAAAAAGGGCATGGCAACAAATTATTTTCACCCCTAAAAATACCAACTAAAAATGTTTGTTGACAYAATTAAACGTGATAAAACAAGTGAGCTGACTGACGTTGTTGTAACTTACATATCAAGCTGATTATCATAAAGGGACACCTAATCATCCAGTGGTTGCCCAAAAACTCCTCTCTTTTTTCTCAGTGGAAATATTTAATGTTATGTATGATAGAATCTGCAGTCTTCTTGATGATGCCTTATATTTATGCTGAAAGAGCTTACCCTTTGATTGGGCTACATCAAAGTCTTTCTTATTACTTCTTGACATCTGATTKGGAGGTCTCCTGGTCATGAACTTTTCATGTTCTGCTATCTTCTCATCAAGGAGTCCTTTTGCATTAGCAATCTGGTCTGCTGTACCTACTATTGTACACTTCCTGGGTATATCAGGCCGTATTTCTTCTCTATCAATAGTGATTCTTGCTCCTAAAATAAAACATATTTCACAAAATGACATTGAAAAAATAAGATATACACTAATTTACAGAACCCACAATAGTCTCCTTCATGCTCAACGGTTGTCTCGCTTCAATGTAAAGGCACAGCTACCTTTCAAGATGTCGCACTTAACCGTGAAGGAGACTATTACTTTGTATTTGTTCATTATTGATTGGGTAATACACATCTTTATGTGCAAGGTACAATGCTAACATGACATGTTTTATAAGTTGTTGTTTATGAGTTGAAAAGGTATCACTGTGAACTATCAAGAAATATTAAAACTCATATATATCCATTTATTTGATGTTATTACTGAATGAAAACCAAGAGTTTCTTTGATTTACTGAATGAGGAACATGACATATATCCATGAACTCAGAGTTAGACATGACCATGGCATGAGTTTTAATAGGCAATGTGCAGTGACGCCATTTTGTGAAGCAAAGCATGCTGGTAGTTGTAGTACTTGTACTTATTCTAGACCCTAAAATATCTCCCTAAAAGGCGTGTTTATGATTTCTTAGTAGAAACGGCACAACTACTTCACAGCAAAAACTGCTTAGGAAGATTGTTGAAGCAGACATAAAAATGGACAAGGACTACAACTACCATCATGCTTTGCTGTACAAAATGGCATCAATAGTCCATATCACAAGCCCTCCATTTTGAATGGTTTTGCAATGTATCATGGGTTATATATCTCCCTTTCTTCATCAAAACAAATCGATAAAATTGTAAAAACACTACTTATTTTCGATTTTTCCACAGACAAAATWTGTTTCTTTTCATTTTTGCTTGATTTGCCTAGTAAATGGAAATTCTTGATTAACTGTACATTTTTTGGTGCTTTTTCTTTCTGTATTTCCTTTCATGTTGATATTTGTTTGTTTTTTCGCTTCTGAGATTAACTACAATATCAATATTTCCACATGTTTTTCGAAAACTGAGTCTACGTTACAGACAACTGGATCACTGACATCGTTTTTCACTTGTTTACTCATTTATCAATCCCAAAATGCACTGCGTCACAAGGCTTTCTGCGGGTTGCGTTATAGACTATGCACATTGCCTATTAGATGGAGATGGAATTGTTCTACCCTCCAAAGTCCTCTCCACAAGACTTGTTCACCAGCTATTCTTATATTTGTTCTTCTACACATACAAGAAACTATGTGTCTGAACTTTTATAAAAACAATTAGAGCATCTTATTATTATATAGATGATTTCTAACGCGCCCTCTGATTGGCCAAAAAAGTGTTGTTTATGAGAGTATAAACCACGGCTGACCCTTATTTATTTGTTAAATAAATTTCATGATTTTAAACACAACTTGTGAGTTGACCACGAATTCTAATCCCGGACTAATGTGCTAATCAACGATACAAATTTAAGAATTATTGCCAAACACACATATTTCAATCACCATTTTAATTTAAAAGTATGCATATCACGACACTTGTAGGAAAAAGCTGTACGTTTTCTTACCAGAGACTTTGCTCAGATGTCGAATGGTCATTCCACCACGACCTATTATCCGACCACAGGACCTCTGCGGGACGTAGTACTCCTCAGTTAACATTTTCGGCTGTTCACTGATAATTTTCTTAATCAAAAACTCGGCTTTTCTAGCATTTTCTCTTTCACCTTTAATTACCACGGTTCTGGTCTTTTCCGGATCTGGTTTGACCTCGTCGAACTCGACAACCTCTTCGTTTTCRTCATCATCTTTAAACCTCAAATAAGCCCCACTTTCCCTCTGAATTTGTTTTATATTTGCCCCACCACGACCTATCACTGTCCCGACTAACAGTTTCGGTATTTGAACTTCAATTTTTGTCTCAAATGCTCTTGCAACGGTGGGTTCTTCTTCGTCTTCGTCGTCATCATCGTCAAAACTGTTGTCTCTCTGTCTTCTTCTGTACCACAAGAAAAATAGCAAAGCTAACGTGGGCACTCCTACTGCTATGGCCAACCTTTGCTCTGAGGAAAACGTTGGCATTGTGCAGGTAAAAATACAAAAAAAATTCTTCTTCCAAGAAAGCCGTCGTAAAAAGCGCAGCACGCTGGATTCACTGAGTAGCCACGCCGTTTTCAAAACGAGTCACGCAACAGCTAGGACAGGACACCCGAGAGCTAAGTCATATAGMCGTGTTGTATCGGCTTGTAATTGGAATTTATTGTTTTAACGTCTGATTGTCCCAGACAATGCAAAAATGGCCATTTGCCTAAAAACAAAAATTAATTTTTGGGAAAAAATATACGGCTGATATATGTCGATACACTGAAGCATGGTCCAGACGTCCGTTCATCACAACATTTATTTTCTTGCTAGTTGTCTCCGTAGAAACGGACTCAATCAACGTATTTCAAATAACTCTTTCTATGCAACCATCAAATATTACGTGAAAAGAAGAGTTTTTGCAGTTTACTTGTGGGCTATAATTAGGGATATTCAAAGATCATTGAACAGATTATCTTGTCAGCGGTTTCTCGCCATAGTAAAAAAACTTGCAAACAGTGGAGATTGAAGATGGAAATGCATGACGAAATATCKAATAAACTACCAATTTTTGTTCAAGGATCAGTGGTTAAGGGATTTGGTAGAGGTAGCAAAGAACTTGGAATTCCAACAGGTAAAGTATTAGAGATTTTTGGTTGATTGGGTGAGACGATTGAAAGATATATTTCGACTGCATCAGGTGGCGTGACGTGTCAAATTCTGAGCAGAAGAAATTAAGGTTTATTTTTCTAGCAATTCCTTTTCTTTTTCTCTAAAAACAATTCCTTTTCAATTTCGTCTGTACGGTAAGTCGCCGTATTTAATTTAGTATAAATTTTTCAAGAATACACTGTTGATTGTATTTTGTTTTTCTTGTGTATTTTTTAGCTTGCTATTGCGTAAGTTCTGCATAATTTAAGCTTAAGCATAACTCTAATAATTTCGCAGTTAGTTTTTATAAACAACTTCTGCTTTTTTTCCTCTATTATAATACTAAACTGACGTTTGGATTATTTGTTTGATTCATTTATTGATATCACAAGATTTTCTAAACTTCTTAAAATCTGTCAATTTATGAAGTGTGTTTATGGTAATCTTAGCGTAGTAGGGYTATCAGCAGGTGATCATCATCATGCTGATCCTCAGTGCTCGAAATGGTGAAAAAATGAAGAGTCACAAAAGATTTCAACAGCAAAAGAATATATATGATCTTTATTCTAACTTCCTTGAAGACATTCTTTCTTATTTACTCTTTCAATCTATAATGATCATATGGTTCTCAATCTCAAGAGCCCTGGTTCTTTGCTTATTTCATTAGAAATTAGATTTCATGACTGTACATCAACCAGTCATTTCAAATCAACAAAATGTTGCCTGCTAATGTTGTTTTCATCATATTGTCTTAATCTTCTCATTAAATGTATCAGACTTAATTGAGGAAAAAAATCAGTTCATGTGAGTTATCTAGAGGGCAGTCTCTTGAAGTGTGCACTTCTAACATCATTTATTGCACCAGGCAAAAATCYTTTTCAAATTATAAGTTATGTAAGGTTGCAGTGTCAATACCTAATGCATCATCAGGATTTATTTAATAAGGTTTTCATTGTATGTTACTATAGCCAACTATCCTGAAGATGTTGTAGACAAATGTTCTGAGTCCCTAAAGACTGGTATATACTGTGGATGGTCTAGAGTAGATGATGGCGAAGTTTATAAAATGGTGATGAGTGTGGGTTGGAATCCATATTATAAGAATGAGAAAAAATCAATGGTAAGTGTATTAGGGAAGAGTACATTTTAGATTATTTGGAACATTTTTTATTTCCAGCAGCAGGAACTATATAGTGACACAGAACCTTTTTGATAATGTTGCGACTGCATAGATTAATGTATTGGACATCAGTCACTAGTCTTATTATTTGATGATAAATTGAAATAAAATTATAATACTGGTGGTAAATTTATACTACATGTATGAAAAGAAACACAGTGTGGACAAAATATTCCAAATCCTTGGACTGTTGTTCATTCCAAATTGTAATTTGGCACTAATTAAGAAATTTCTAATAACTCATGGAAACAATTAATTCTATTTTGTCCTTGACCAATACCAGTTGCTCTTACTCTAAATGTACTCCATATTTTTCTTATGTCTTCCAGATTTCAGTCCTAAACTGAAATAAGTCGGTGTAATTTAGGATTCTTCCTCACTTGCATACAGTATTTTCCCTCTCCAACTTTTTTAAAACCCTTTTCATGATTTGGTTAACAGGAGACACACATAATCCATAATTATGATCAAGACTTTTATGGCTCACAACTTAGTGTTATTGTAGTTGGATATTTGAGACCTGAAAAGTCTTATCCAAGTCTACGTAAGTATAATTATACTAGATTGAAATGAAGAAGTTTGTTGTTCAGAAGTTTGTTGGTCCACCAGCATTCAATGCAGTTGTGTTTTAGATTATTAATCATATATGGAAAATGAAGRGACTTCAAATGTGGTTCTCCATTCATATAGCATAAAGGGATAAAATACTGTAACTTTTTGCTTATATTAGGTTGTATTCTATTCTTTCAAATACAAGCAAAAGCTTGAAAGGGATGCTGGTGGAACACATCACTTTAAAATATCCAGCGAAGCTAGCAGATTGATTCGGTGTTAGTAGTACTTGTGTATCAAATAAAAGTTCAGTCATTGGCAAAAAGACAAWTTCCACAAGCAACTGAGCATTCTCAATCTACAGGATCCTACAAAATCTTGTAGGATCCTGACAAGATCCTGTAGGATCTTGAATAGCATCTTATACACTCAGGAACCTGACATGGTCCTGGTTAGGATCCTAGTAGGATCCTAGGCAGGATTTGCACCATTGTGAACAAGGAGCTTGGAGTAATGAAGTGCATTATCTGTAAAATAGYGCTATGCATGTATATAATTGCAAAATACTTGAAAATGACAGCTATTGGCAGCTTGTCTCTTGGTTTCCCTTTAATCCCACTTCTTTCTTGTATTGTTGGTTGGTAGTAAAATGATTCAAATTCTAGATATCTAAATGATTATTTATTATAATTATCTATTATTTGTAAACAGAGGCTCTYATAGACGCAATTCATGATGACATAAATCAAGCTAAGGACCTTCTGGAAAGACCTGAAAACAAGGCATATGCAAGTCATACATTCTTTACATCTAGCAGCTCATCCAATGCTGTGCAAAATGGTTTATAAAAAAACATGGTGTGAGCTAAAGACAAAATTTATTAACTAGGATTCCTGTGGTCAATTTTAATAAATCTGAATCGGTTAATATATGTGCTATGAATTTTATCAACTAAATATTATTATATTTTTAGGCGAATTTAATGCATAAACAGCATTTTTCAAAAATTTTGTAAATGACAACAATATATAATATATCTGTGTAGATACATGAACTGTGTTGTCTGATTTGGATGTGGATATGTGTTATATTTTGATAACAATTTTTTTTATTAATATTCAATATCTAGTTGGTATATCGATGAATAACATTTCAGCAAAGAATATTTTGTACTTCTTATTTTCCGTGGACATTATACCCTCAATAAATCCTTTTGTATGAATATTTTTACAGAATTTTTCAAAACGCTGTTTATAAACATGTATTTAAGAATCTTGTAAACCTTTGATGAATTGATGATGAAATACTATTTAATATGTAATTATGAAACAGGAAGTAAATGATTGAAATTCAATTTGTTTAATTATTTTGGATCCATACAGTTTTGAATTTTCTCTTTTATGTACGAGGATGCGCAAATGTCACATACACCTACTTGCAGAAACRTAGCAAAAAGGAATAAATTAAAATAAGAAAAAAGAAAGCGTTCAGCCTCAGTGATCACCCTTTGTGTTTTTAATTTATTCCTTTTTACTAAAATACAAATGTCCTATTTTTTTATGACAACGTTTTCACAAGTAGGTGTATCTTGTGGAAGTAATCAGTTTTATGTTTTTGTGATTTTCTCTTCTGTCAGCAAGCAATATAACCAGAAACGTGGCATTACAAAAATGAACTTTACTCGAACTGAACCTCGTCAAATGARCGATCACGATTCATTGCAAATGGGTATAATGCATGAGGATGAAAAATTGCATTGTAGGTATGTGTAAGATTCCATCCTTCGGCTCGGATCTTTATCACCCGATAAAACACACTCTTTCGTTCTTTATACACTACATAAGCTATAAATAGCTAAAAAAAATACTTTCAAACAAGTCTGTTTGATCCCTCGGGGCAAGGGATCATTGACGTTATACCACAGGTAACCCGCATTTTGCTAAGAGCGCGTGCCGATAACAGTACWATAGTACCGAATACTAGCTAGCGTAAAAGCGTGCGCATTCGTTCTGCTCTGTCTCTCAAGCAATAGTTGAATGGCCTATTACTGTTCTGGGTGGTATTTTCAACATGCATAACTTATTTCCCTGTCAGCATCTTATATTTGGTAAGGGAATAGATGCTAAGTAATGGTCCGAGAAAGAAGCAGGCAAGCAAACGGCAATGGAATGCAGGAAGGTGCTAATTGTGTATTGTATAATCCATCCATCTCATTGGTTAAAACATTAAAATCTGACATAATTTCAAAAGTAATCGCATTTTTTAATATTTTATTTCATATCTGATTCCGACTTCATAAAAGCTTTCCTTAGCTTCAATTTTAATAGCAATAGTTCTACATGGGGAACATAGGAAATTAGAAGCATCTTTTGGTAATTGTTTTGAGTGCTCTTATGATTGGACAAGATCTTTTAATACAAAAGAAACTTTGTTTCAAAACAGAGTTTATCCACATTATATTTTAAAAATCTGTTACCCATAGGTTGATGACACTGGTGAAAAACGCACTGCGCATGTCCACAGCTTTCCCGTTAAATCTGCCTAATTTCCTTTGTAAAGCTATTTTTGTGAAAGATTTTTACAGATTGTAAGCTCGTTCACCGATATATAAGATTCATATTTCCATCAATCATTGCAATTGTTCATGATAGGTCCTTTTAGTATGTAGTTTCTATTTTTATCTTGTTATTTCTATTTTGAAAAAAATGAGGTTTTTCGTAGTGTTTTCTGTGTTGTCGCTGTAAATCGCMAGGCGCTCTGTTTACAGATTTCAAGACGCGAGCGCCCGCTGGCAGGAAAGCTGTGGGCATGCGCAGTGCGTTTTTCACCAGTGTCTAGGTTGATATATAATCAGTGTGAAGGCCAAGTCATTCGTATGTGAGGAAGTTGCGCGGAGACGAGGGGCATTTTTGCTTCCGAAAAATTAATAATAAATGAAATCGATAAGATTAAAATAAAATATACAAAAAAATCTATGATCAGAGCTCGACTTTACTGAAGGCATATGTGACGACATCAAGTTAAGAAGATAAAAGAGTCAACTTCAAAGTCCTGCGTCAGATACTGAAGGGCGAGGGTCCTATGGAATATTTTGATTGCATTCTTCAGATGTCATATTTACTGCAAACACGCCCAGCGAAATTATCAGTAAAATCCCAAAGAAACTATCCAAAGCAGGAAAAAGCTTAGTGAGGTGGTGACCCTATGTAAGCTGTTGGCAATCAATCCAACGACCAGCGTAGCCTCCTCCACAGGCAACTCTTTTTTCCTCCTTTGGGCTTCCCTTGCAACGGTTATTTTGGCCGTTAGGGACAAGTGACGAGATAGGAAAAATAAAAAGAGGAGGAGTTACCCTTTTCTCGCCCCCATTCTCCCTCTTTTGACTCCTCAAAAAGACAGGAAAACCCACAGGGAGCCCAAGCAGTGACTTTGAACCTATAATAGTTAAAAATAAAATTTTACTCAAAAAAATGRTCTACTTTTATTTTATTYAGTGTCACAATGCATTATARATGGGTTTTAAAAAATATCCCCTCCATGTATATATATAGTGACAAGGGAGGAGACTCCGCTCGMAATTCTCCCAAAAATGAGCCAAAAACGATCGACAAAAATCCTTTTTTGGCACCGAAATTAAATAAAAACGAAGTTTTATCACTATTTTATCACTTGTCACTATATATATACATGGAGGGGAAATTTTTTTAAACCCATCTATAATGCATTGTGACACTGAATAAAATAAAAGTAGACCATTTTTTTAAGTAAAATTTTATTTTTAACCATTATAGGTTCAAAGTCACTGCTTGGGCTCCCTGTGGAAAACCGTGATTCTTAGTGATGCCTGCGGAGGAGGTGACGACCAGCGCTTAGTGCGAACGATCATTTTCAGCAGCAGGACCGTCTGAAAGCCTGGCTAAGATCAAATATGACACAGCAACGATTCAGCAATCTCACGCTACTAAATTGCCATAAGAGGTAACAGAGGATGAGCTGAATGTCATTGAAATCGACAATACCACTGGCTGAACGCAACGACAACCTAAAGAAGAATTTTGTACTCTTAACTGTTGCAGATCACTAAAGAGAAAAAAAATCACAAGATCTATCAAAAAATTGTTATTGTCACGAGCAAAAATGCCTTTTTATTGTTTAATTACGCAAAATGTCTATAAAATTAATGCATCATAGATCTTCTCGATGCTCTTCCGAGGATTAAAACTACAAAATTGTCCGGGGGGGCATGCCTGGACCCCCCTACATCGTCCCCCAACATAGTTGACCGCTCCGCGGTCCCTGATGTACGTATTAAAAGGAATGAGTCTAGATTCATTGCCTAGCAAATCGATCAACTATTGATAAAATGTTTTCAAACATTCTAGATTCTCGAAAGAAATGTATGGGTGGACATTCCAATGATACATTTCTTCGAGTAATTTGGGCGTTTTTGAAAGTCTATTTAACAATTAGACCTCGAGGTCGAGTGGACTACGAGCTAAGGGACGGACCATTTGATTTTTCATGGGGGGATGGGTGCATTTTTATCGTGCTCGAAATTTTTTTTCGCCCTCCAGTACTGCAGGATATTTTTTTGTTGTATCAAGYTCTTGCACGATATTTTTTTTACTGTGTAATTTGTCACTAATTTGTCACTGTGGACGGACCATTTGTAGGGGGTGGGTTAACTCCCCTGCTGCTTTATAACTCTATATGTTGCATTGTTATTACATAACTACATATCTAAAGTTTAATCTGAAAGTTGGATAAGCGAAGACAGGCGGGGTTAGTGTGTACATTWTGGCTGGGCTGCACTTCTCAGGGACCGCGATACATATTTTTGATTGAGGGGTGTAACGGAGACCAAAGCCCGGAGTAATAAGGGGGTATGGTGGTCCTCCCCCAGAAAATCTTGGCATAAGAACTCTAAGATTTTCAGCATTTTGAGGGGCATCGAGAGCATATAAAAAGCATCAAATTTATGTGAAATTAAGATTTCTTTTTCCTAGGGTGGAAGAGTTGAATATTTCATTTGGTCTTAAAAAAAGTCGGTGCTACCGTAATAAGGGGGGTTTGGGGGTCCTCCCCCAGAAAATTTTGAAATAAGAACTCTCCAAGACACGCGATTTTCAGCATTTTGAGGGGCATCTCCTGCTACGAAGACTGAGACTGGAAGAGTTGAATATTTCATTTGGTTCTAAAAAAGTCGGTACTACCCATGCTCGATATTTTTTTGGGACATATTGATGCAGCACCATATTTTTTTTAGGTTGAAGAGCTTGCTCGATATTTTTGGGGGATTTA